AAGAAGAGGCAAGAAAGGGAGAAGGGAGAAGGAGCATTTTCGCAGGTGCTAGGATGTCTTGATGTGAAAGACGCATTCCCACAAGTTCCACAAGAGAAGCCATTGAAAGTGAACCCGGGAGGAGAAGAAATCTTTGTGAACGAAATGTACCTGGACAAAGAGCTGGAGCAAAAGCAGGGTTTGACTGTTTCACGGAGTACCTCGCTGAGGAACTCAACAACTACAAGTTCAGCGCTGAGTGTCCATGCCTAGGAAAAAAATAGAAGGGTATCATTTTGATCCACGCGGATGACTGGGTTTTCACAAGAGACTCAAAGTGCATCAATGAAATCTTTCTTCTAAAGGTTCAAGGCTAATTTGACACCAGTGTGTCGAAGATTGAGAAAACTGGCGACGAGTTCAGTTTTCCACGGAGAAAGTACAAACTAGAAGTTGATGGACTATGGATCCAGCCAGGTAACTACATCCAGCAGATGCTGAAAGCCTCCGAAGAGCAACTACCAGCAGAAAAGTCGATCCAGATGGAAGACAAGTCAGAAGTCTTGCGCGAACAAGAGAAGATCAGCCTTTTCAAAAGCATTGTTGGATCAGGTGACCTCTACCTATGTCAAGAGAGGTATGATGTAGCATTTACAGTGAAGGAATTGGCTTCAAGAATGTCACATCCTACAGCTACGCCATTCTATCGCTGGAAAAAGTTCTTAGGGTACTTGAAGAAGACGGTGGGCTATTGTCTAGTACTTGAGCTTCCACAGGCAGGAGAAGGCTACGTCAAGAAAGGAGAAAGCTATTGGTGCTTGGAGACATTCTCAGGTTCAGAGTGGAGTGGAAACAAAAATGACAGAAAGTCAAATGAGGAGGATTCCACGCATTGAACAGTTGTCCATTGTTCAATAGCAGCAGGACACAGAAGATCATTAGCTTATCTTCATGTGAAGCAGAACTACACGCGACAGTTTCCTCAGCGTCAGATGGAATCTTCATTCGAGCAGTTCTGGAATTTGCTCTTGGGACAAAGGTGGGCCACGATATCTTCACAGATTCATCGAGCGTGCGCCAACTTGCGATGAAGAGAGGAGTTGGGAAAGTGAGACATGTGGATGGAAAGTTGCTACGGGTTCCAAAAAGGGAAGACTTCAAGATGCTACAAGTAGCAGCAGATAGCAACATGGCAGACCTCAACGCAAAGCCACTTGGAGGACAAAGAATCAGATACTTGATTTGGGTATTGACAAAGTGAAGACCCAACAAGAGTAGGAGAGCGGGAGAGAAAGAAAGAAGTTTGCGGAACGGTCAGAAAGGTTGCAAAGATGCTTGTGAGGATGGTAGCCGGCTTACAGACGCATTCTGGAAAGAAGAAGATAACCAGTGTGGATTGGGAGATATGAGACTATATAGAGGAATTGAAGGAATCCAATGACAACTGGAAAATTTGACTTGCAGTGGTCATTGTGATCATTATTGTTGGTTTTGCAGCAGTAATCTTTGCGCTATGGAAGCTCTACAAGCACATTGAAAAGCGATATGATGATATGTTCTATCGAGTTGAAAAGCGCTAGTGGGAAGGTTGGGAACATGCAGACTACAGAACAGACAACGCAGAGTTCCAAATCACAGAACCTACCAACGAAATCAGAGAGATTGAGCGCTATGAAGAGAAAATTGATCAGTTACACAGCTATGCCAGGAGAATTCATTGTGGATTGGTTCTCAGTGGAGACTTTACTGAACATGAAACACCAAACATTCCAACAATCATCGCTTGCGATGTGCTACAAGAGCTAAACGGAGGGAACTTCTCATCCAGAAGAATTTTCGAAGATACGCAAGCATCAGAAGGACCAGAGGGGGCACAGACTGATGTTCAAGGCAGCTACAGATGGAGCAACACCGTCAGAAGGACTATTGAACAGAATGTTCAAGATAGGGAACAGCGAAATATCAATCAGAAACAAAATATCACAGAACAAGCAAGTAAGCCAAATGTGTGGTCGACTTGAAGCTTTGGAACCTGATGGGCAGAGGACATCAGGAAGCAGCAGATATGGTAGATCCAATCTTGATACGAAGTCTTGACTGCACACCTTCAATGAAAGTTCCTGCAAGCTTTCTCACCCTGTCAACTGTGTTTTCTGACAGAAATGAATGATCTCCAAGCTTTGAGTTAACCAACCTGCTAGTGAGTCTTAGACTGCGGCGAGCATTGATCAGAATCTTGAGGATTTGCCTTGTTGTGGGTTCATGGTCACTCCTGTAGTTGATTGCTGATTTCCCCAGCAATTGACTGAAAAATCACCAACTCTTGCGCAATTAGGCAAAAGTGGGCTTTGCTTCCTTGCGGCGCAACATGAATGACTAGCCAACATACTGCTCTTGCTGACTTTGTCTCTGAGTCCCTAGCTCTTGTGTAGCAAAAGTCAAAGCTTACCTCAGTACTTCCTCCCTTTACTCCATCTGTTCCCCCTTGGCGATCTGGACGCGCTCAATGCTCAACGCACTCCTTACACCAAGTGGCATATGGCATGTGTGTCAACCTGTGCCTTGCGCGCTTTGCCCTGATGCCTCTCTTGTCTCCTGAGCTTCTGCTTCCGTTACCAAGCTTTTGGCGTTCAACACTTCCATCCGCTTGTTGTGATTGAGGCCCTCGGTGTAGACCTTTACCTTAGAGCCACTGCCTGAAACGCCGAGAAATAATCCTTAGTCAACCCTATTCCATTCACCAAGACTGTGTCTACATCCATTGGGCTCAATTGTAGTTATTCTTGCTTGTCTTCTTCTCTCTGGCCTTCTACCTCCTTCTTCTGGGTAAGGGGTAATTAATCTCTTCTATGGCCTGCTGTACTTCTTTCTTTCTCCGTTCTCTGTTCTCACTCACGCTTCTTGCATCCTGGCGCAGAATCCCATATCGCCTGGTGGTGCTGGCTCATAGCTGAAGATTGTGATTGAAGGAATGGCTGCATCGTCGTCAAAGAATTGCTCATCAAGTTCCTCCTTGTTCATCGTGCCTTCACAAGATTCAGCCATTAACCATGTACCTCCTCTTTTCACGAAGTGGTTCTCATCAACTCTAGTGATTCTTCCACTTTTGGAATGACTGTGGGATCCACAAACTTTGAAGTCAATAAGCTTCCTGATTCTTTCTCCAACGCTTCAGGTACTTGCGCCTCCAAGCAGTTCTCATCTTCATCTCGAATGACTCACCATTCTCCTGCATGCGCTCTCTGCTGTTGATTCCCCAACCATGTTCCATCAACCTTCCATAACAAAGTATGGGTTGGTTCACCTTTGAACTGGAGGTCGCATTCTGTTTGAGAAGAACTTCTCGTCCATCAAGATCATGCAAGGAAATTTCAACACTTTTCGCACCTTGTGTGGGGATAGGATTTCGTTGCGCATCTTGTAGCTGGGTCTTTGTGTTGAATTGCAACTCTTTCCCCATGATCTGCCATACTCAGAGGGAATAATGCTACATCAGCTCCACTGTCAATAATGATGGCCACATCCTCATTCTCTTCCCCAAGTCTCCGAACCGTGGGTGGGCTCATCATCTGAGATGTCAATCTCCTCAACTTCTTGGAACTCTGGTTCATCATCATCATCATCTCCAATGTAGAAATGAACTGCTCGAATTCCTTGATCTTCTAGCTCATATTCTCCTTGTCTCAACAGAAGTGGGCTACTTCCACCGTGGCTAGTAGCAGTACAGACTATCAAGGGCCTGTGCCAGTGGATGTTGATCGAGTCCAAGATGCCAAAGGAAATGGTAAGAATGGCAAGAATGATCCTGAGAAAGGCAAAGGTAAAGATGCTAAGGGCAAAGGAAAGAAATGAAAAAGGAGATCAGAAAGGAAAGGAAGGTGATCGCAAGGGCAAAGGTAAAGGGAAAGACATAAAATCAAAGGTGTGGGAGCCAACGTGTACACTCGTGTAGCAAAAGACTGTTGGAGGAACAATATTCGACAGGTAGCAAGTGATCAAGCCCATTAATCTTCAGGAGGAGCACCAATGACTACCCATACAGTTGGTCAACAACATGCCAGTGTCAGCCAGCAGGTTAGCTCAGCAGAGACCAAACCAGTGGTCAGGGCAATTCAGAATAGTGAGCCGGTCATCTTTGACTTGAGAGCGAGCCCATTGCAACACTTGTTCCCTCAAAGTTGAGTATTGAACATTGTCTCCAATTGTCAAGTTCAAGCATGACTTGAGTTGTCCACCTACACATCTCAAAAGAATAGCAGGTTTCAACTCTTCCTGAACTGTAGTCCCTGACTTGACTGTCTCATCAAGTACTTCTTCAAGCTTCAATAGTTGAGGTTGTAATGCACTGTTCATTGAAAATGCTGGCCATGTAGTGGTTGCTCCCAAAAGTGCAAAGCCTCTTGCCTTTATTCAAACTCCTCCAGGCGTCAAACGCATTGGAGTCTCCCTTTCACCCCATATCAAATTTGTCACTTCACTTTTCATGAACTTCCTTCAAGTCCTTCACGTAGCCCTCATCAACTGCACTCAAGTACTTCTCAAAGACCCATGACCAATGACCACTCTCTAAATGCCTCTAATCAAAGATGTTGGGCTTTGCTGTCATCTTTGACCAATCTGTTGCTGATGACCTCTTGTCTTCAACTGCTTTCTTCACTGCCTCAGCTGCTGATGTTGTTGCCAGCGCACTCCGTGCTATAGTTTGAAGGGTTTCTCTGATTTCCTCCATCTTCTCTTTGTACTAATGCCTCTCTTGGTACAGAGCCTTGCTTGCAACAATTATTCACCAATCCAGCTGTCCCGGGATCCCAGTGACCTAGGGTTTCACTCAGAGCTTCAGAGGGGTTACCTCCTTCTCAGCTCCGCTACCTTACGGGCTTTTCCTTGATATGCAAAGGGGCTGCGTGCGCATGCTGTGATGCAAGTGATGTCAAACTACTGCACATTGATCTCTATGCAAAATGGTGTGCGTAAACATTTTTAGATTTCTAAGACTCAACTCGTCAAACCCACGAGGCGTCCTCCAACTGCTTGCATTCGCTGCATACAGTTGTACAAACCTGCAGCAAGCAAAGAGAAACAGGTACAAAGATATGCCAGTATGGAAGTTATTGGCGCCAAACCCACAAAATGTGCCTGTTGTGTTCTGCCCAAATCGATTTGGCCCGTAGTGCCAGCCAAGAATGGCAGGTTCTGGATCCAATTCGTCAACAATAACCTGCCAATGCTCGTTGAGTCTTATGAAAAAGGGTGAATCAGTTGCTGAAGCGTTAAAATTCAATGTTTTAGTTTTAGAGGCGCTCTGACAAATTCGTGTTTTTCTTTAGACCACTATTTCCCTTCCCTTGCCTTTCCTTTTCCTTTCTTCCTCTCTTTCTTTCGTCCTGGCACACCCTGTTTTTTCCTTTCCTGCCCCTCAAACAAAAGCGCTGGCCGACCCGTTCCCTGTCCTTCCAACAAAATTATCAAATTTGCTGGCTGTTCTTTCCCCTTCATTGTTTCATCCTTAATCCTTTCTTTTTGTTTGCCGTGCCCTTCCTGTCTCCTTTCTCGTGTCTTGGAGTTTGCTTGGACTATATTGCCTTCATGCCCAAATCACTAACTAGGTCATCAGGGGACAAGGGCACCAAAACTGAGACCAGCTACTTCGCTGTGTCCATTGCAACATACAACCCGCCTGTACCCGCTAGAGGGCATTTTGTGGGGCAGGCTTTGACGGGCAAAGGCCTGCGCCCAATCTGACAACTCTCTATACAGCCCCACCTCACGCATAAGCGGTCTAGGGAGAAAACACACTCAAGGCGGACAGAGTTTCGGAACAGGTTCCCAGCTCCTGGAGCAGGAAGCTAGGGAAACTAGGACAAAATTAAAGCATCTATGAGACCAATGCTAGGAAAAAAGGGCGCGTGAAGGTCCCAAACCAACTCGCGATCGGTCCAAACGCTCTAGGGCCCTTCCACATACGTGGGGTACCAAATTTCCATGTACCACGGGACACGTATAAGACAAAAACACGCGACCGCCGGCAAGTACTCCCGGTGTAAGACGCGGAAAGTACACAACGGTGAAGTATGAATTGCGGAATCGTCAAATTGTCAAGCGATTTCTTTTGTATCTTTGGTACGAATTCTGACTGGCGTGAAACGGGATTTTCAATCTTTGGCGCTTTAAGGTCCCAAAACGGGTTTCCTCTCCACGGGCCCGCCTTTTTGTTTGCAGTTATTTTTTGTGTCTGGTTGTTTTGTTTCGGTTCTCTGTCGGGCACTTGGCGTGCCGCGCCTTTTTTCGTGCTCCGGACTCCTTTCCCGTTCTCTTCTCCGTCTTTTCCACCCATGGACTTCTATGTCTATGGTATGTGTTTTCGTTCTTTGGTCCTTTCCCCTCCTCTTCTGCCCCGCGTTCTGCTCCATCTCCACTCCTTTCCTTTGCCTTTTCGTCGGCGCTCAAAGCTTTAACATATAGAGTCACGCCAACTCAATCCAACCGACCCTCATGTCAGCTACCAATAAGTACTACAGTAACGCAACTGGGGGCTCGGGGCTCAAGTTTGGAACTGGGACTTTAACGGCGCGTTCGCGAAACTTTGCAAACATTCACCGGTGGATCGTTGTGCTGTCAAGGCCGCCCAAGGGTGATGCAGTTGCAGCTTGTGATTCAACTTGAGGATGGGAAGTGGGCAATCCTCTACGCACTGCCAGGGCTGTGCAAAAACAAGGAAAGTTGGGTTTCAGGTTGTTTGTCAGTGAGAGCGCTTCTGCCACCGCCCACTGGCTCTGCCGGAGGATTGCCTTGTATTTCTACCATGTCGGTAGAAAGAACCCACTGCTGTAAAATGAAGTCAGTCTTTCGCGAAACTAAAGACCAAACCAGCCATGTGTTGCCATGTCACGCACAAGGAAGGAACCCAAGTGTATTGCCACAAGACCATAGAACATTTGGTTTTGTCGCGGTGGGCCCTCGGTGCGTGTGTGTCCGACTCAAGCATGTAGCGTTGCACTTGTGCAGTTTCATGGTCCTACAAACGGGAACAACGTCTCGCAGCAGGGGCTTGCTGCGCAGCATACGCCTACGTCTTCTATGTGTTGGATTGTGTTGGTATCAACTAACCCGATTCGTGTTTCTTTGTCATATTTCCTTTCGAGGCTTCCCTTCCCTGAGTTGTCCATTATCATTGCTTCCCTGGCATTTCTTTCCAATGACTTCCATACTTGTCCTTGTCGCGACCGCCAAGCTTGTCCCCAGTCAGCTCCCCACCATGTCAAGGGTGGTGTTCTTTTGTTGTGGTGCTTTCTCGGAGTGGAGAGGTGTAGGCCATAGCTCTGGCGAGCAAAGCAAAAAAGGCGTGCGGTGCACAGTCGGCTTCGCGCCACCTGGGGCCTATGTCTGTAAGTCTGTAACGGTCCATTTTCATGCTATAAAGCAGGACTCCTACAAATTCATCCTGCGTGTCAGGCTGATAATCTGGCATCGAAACAATGACACTTAAACCGTTTCGGCACTGCTAAACGCAAAAATAATGTTGGCGGCGCCGTGCAGTTGACGCGGCGAGGTTGGACACCTGAATGATGAGAGAGGCAAAATCAAAAAACGTTCGCGAAAATTCAATTCTGCACCCTAACCAAGTCAAGGACATCTGGCAATCCTGTCCACGCCAAGCTCGATCTTTAAAAACAAGAACGTCAAAGACACCAGCAAAACACCTTGCCAGGCGCTGGTAATGTGTTACTGGTACGGAATATTGGCACAAACTCCACGCAACTGACTGAGACAGAAGCTGATCCCAACAAGAGTGCTGAATGCGAACACAGATGTGCCCTTCCGCAATCGGTGCTGCAGGCTCCTGAAGTTTGGAGATATTAGATGCGCGAAAACGACGGGTTTCTGTGGCAACACAGGCTAAACCAATTTGTGGTGCCGGTTTTGAGAAAATGGTTTGAACGTGAACATTTGCAAGCCACTTCAATGGAAAGCGGCGCAGGCGACAAACTAAAATCCAATGGAATCAGAAGGCCTCAAGGTGAAGGTGGGAAGCCAGGTTGGAGGCCAAATCAACTGTATTGTGTCCCATGGAACCAACCAGTCAGGTTAACTCACCGCCGCCACGGTGGCTCAAGCCACGCTGCGCAAAAAGGCGCCATGGCTCGTCGCTCGTGATCCCTACCGCTCTGTTCCGATTTGGACAGAGTGGTAGCGGCGCCACCTGGTTGGTGAAGGACCTTGGGATATAATCATTGATTATTCTGTCCTTCGTAGGTTCTCCTTTATAATTATCTACGCGGCAACCGTCATCGCAGCAGCCTCAGCAGGCGCAACCGGACTCCGAAGCTCCATCCCTGCGACAGCAGGGCTCAGCTCGTTCGTCGCCTGTGCGTGCCCCTACTCGGCAAGCAGCTGGCGCCCAGACCGAAACTGAAGACCCTACGCAAGATGACCCATGGGCCCAAGCTAGACAATGACCGACATCAGGGCTCGGATCATGATCGATCCAACGCAGGACCACCTTGATGGTTTGTCGAACTTCAAGGACTACAGGATTGTCAAGAATCTGAGTGGTTCCGCTTTTGACAACTTCAAGTACCTGGCCACAGATGATGCTTGGCTTTCATCCCCACCAATGGTGAAGAACTGTTGGAATCCATGAATACTCGTGAATACTATGGGGAGGACTCCGGGGAAGATATGTTGAACTGTCTAGGCAAGCTGACGTTTCAGGTTCGTCGCAATCGCGGGGAGTCCTAACGGGATTTTTGTGCCCGTTCAACCAACGCAGTCCGAAAAGTCAATTAGCACCGTGTGACTTGGTGGCAGAGTACCTTGGCTTCCTCTTCATCATGGCCTTGCAGCTGAACAAAGAGGTCAAACTGCTCATGAACTTCTCCGGAAGTTTGCATGTGGCCGATGTCAAGGAGTGGCTCAGGGTTCACGAATCTGAGCTTGACTTCAAGCTCGGCGCCAAGGAGACACCCAGAAGAAACCAGTGGACGCCTACTGGCGAGGACCGGCGCGCGTCCTTCTCGTGGACGCCCTCAATACCATCTAGCTCTTTTTGCAGAAGTCCATAGTGAAACCATCTCCAGAAAGAATCCGCCCTGCAACTGAGGAAGAATCTATGTCACTGTCTCAGTGGCTACAGGGCCTGACGGACCTTCGTGACCAACTTGGACAACCAGAGAACAGAGCGTGATCGACCTGCAAGGTGAAGCACCTCCAACCGCACACGAACATGGTCCAGAGCCATCCTTGCCGGAAAACCTCGAACAAGATCCAGATCAACTGGAGTCTGGTCCTCGCTTCGAAGACCAACCTATATGCAACCAGCCGACGAACCTCCACCATTGTTTCCTGCGCCGGCGGGAAGAGTCAAAAGCACGACAGGTGATTACGAACCAGTGCGACCACATCCACCTGAACCACCAGCGCCTCTGCTAGAAAGTCCAGCGTCGGCAGACGAGCTACCAGCAGTTCCAAGTAGCTCCACTCATCATCCAGGCCGGGCTGTACCGGAGGCAGACATCCAAGAAGAACAGAATCGCTCCATGGCTAGCAAACGACAGGCCGATCAGGCCCATGAAGTTGATGAGAGCTCTCCTGACCAGACAAACGACAACGGATTGTCGGATTGCCCGTCTTGAGATGCTCTAAATGGGAAGGAGTGCACTGCCAAGGACTTTCAGCGAGAAGATCATGGTCGCCTCCAGAAGTCCATCGCTAAGGAGATCAACCAGAACCTCACCTCGGGAGCATATCGCCTGCTTGATCTGAAGACTTCAGAAAAGATTTGGAACGACAAACCAGATAAGATCATGGGCCCCACTATTGATGAGCAAAACGTCGTCACGTCACGCAGGGCTTCTCTGGACCGATCAAGACTGAGACAGATTCTTGGAACGATCCAAAAAGCTTTCGAACCTCTGGACACCAATGGACTGGAAGACAATATTCCAGAAAGCTGTCAACAAAGGTGATACTGTCTCAGCCTCTCAGATTCGCAACATTGTTGAGCAACAGGAGTGCCTGAGCAGTCAAGGTAGACAGTTCATCGTTTATTACGATGAGTCGCTAACAGTAACAACTTCACAACAGCCAACAGCTGTAACATTGGCATCCTGGCGTAGCTACAGTTAAAGGTTGTCAGTACGCTTGGAGCTGAACCACAAGCATTGGTCAATGGTGTCGGTGCCATCAACTGGCCTAGACTTTTGTTGTTGGAAGTGCTCAGTGGAATCCTCACCAACAGCCAGTGGGAGTCCAAGCTCAAAGAGTTGCACTTCATCTCGGTCACGGATAGCCAGTCATTGTACGATGCCCTCAAGCGTGATGCTTGTCCCGCTGCTCAGTTCAATGACAAACGTGTCGCCATCGACATTTCAGTTTTGAGGGATGAATGTCGAAACCAAGCTGGAATTATAAGATAGATAGACGCCAGAGCAATGATTTGAGATTCGCTCACAAAAGACTGCGTTCCTCTTTCCTTGAGACACATAATGTCTTGTGGATGTTGGGCCCTTTTTGAGCAGGGTGTTGTGCTTCAGCGAAAAGCACTGGAGCGCAAGGTTGGTTCCAAAAGAAAGTTAGACGGGTGTGGAAATCAGATCAGCCATGGAACCAACCGGTCAGGTTACTGCGCAACAAGGCGCCATGACTCTTCGCTCGTGATCCCTACCACTCTGTTCCGATTTGGACAATATACACGCCTCGGCCTAAGCCCGCAAAAAACCGCATGGCTGCGCGCGTGCGAATTTTGGTTTTCTTCGCGCTGGATACGGTGTGAAAAACCACGCAAGCCGTGATCACGATCATCGACGGGATTTGTTGCCCCCCCAAACCAGATAGGCCCTCCAAGAATCAGGAAATTTGATTTCAATCAGGTCAGAATGCATCCGTTTGCGCACCATGTTTTTTGGGCCTTTGGCTCGAGCTCGAGCTTTGAGACTGTGACTAGAGTGTCGTTGTTGGAACTATTGGAAGCCGCGTGACTGAGCCTCTATGTGGCTAAGACCCCACACAGTACGCATAGGTTTCCTCAACTGGCCAATGAAAATGCGCGCGCTTTTGGAGATCGAATTCGGAGAATATGCCAGATAGAATGCCAGCAGTTGAGCCAGGTACAAGGCCAGAGTGTACGCCCGAATATTTGCAAGATACTAAAGCTAGACTGTATGCCAGAGCGTGCTTGCCGAGTTGTTTCGAAGTTTTAAACTGAGAGGCGCAGCGACTTGCGCTGTACCGCAAGACAGGCTCACGCTACGGCCGAAGCTGCCCATCCTTGGTCGACCTCTGCCCAAGGCCAGACATGAACTAGTTCAACTTTGAGCATCGGACGGAACCCTTTTACTAACTTGCAGAAGCATGTTGGCTGGTTTTCTCAGGCCCTTCCAGCGAGGCGCTCGCGTGAAATTGTTGGTTCTCCTCCAGCGTACTGCGGCTCACGGCGCAGCGCCCCCCTGTAACACCAATTCCCCTATGATCCGGCTCGCAGGACAGCTACCTCTTCTATTGTAGAGCTTCGCAGACCGGCGATGCCGGTTGGGCGCGTGTTCGTGTTCAGCTTCTGATTTTTTTTGCGGCAAGTCCGTTGCTTTCTTGCTTGGTTATTATTATGGTTGTTGTTTCTTTCGAACGCGTCGCGCTCGCCCCCGAGACCTCATATCAAACAAGTTTCAGGCGCGCGCGCGCGCGGCAAAATCCCTCAGGCTGGTGGGGGGTCGCAGGCATGGGGAGCACCCCGCTACGATTGCTTCAGTCGCTGCTTGGCTGCAAGAACAGGCAACACGATAATTGGCGCCGCAAGCACAACGATGAATGTGGTACACAAATTGTGGGCGGTCCCGTTCATGGCGGTGTGTGGCGCAAATCATCTTTGAGGATTGAGGTCCTCTGAACTTTGGGTTGTCATTCGTTTTCACCTGCTGAACATTTCATGCCAAGAACTTGGTAAAGCTCTCGCCCGAACACTTTCGAGAAATCAGTGCGCTAGAGCAATGGAGAATCTGCACGGAGTGTGCACCGGTAGCGACTATTGGGCTCAATCAAAAA